ATACATACATATATATATATACATACATATATATATATACATACATACATATATATACATACATACATACATACATATATATATACACATACATATATATATATACACATATACATACATATATACATACATACATACACACAGAATATATATATATATATATAAAACTATATAAATATATATAAATAAAAACTGTCTAAAACCTAATTAATTCAAACCTAATTTAATTATTGAAATCATATAAAAATATTGTTTTATATGATTTAAATAAATGTGACATAATAACTCAAAAGTCTTTGCTGGTTTTCATATTTTTGGTTTGATGGTGAAACCGGTTTGAAAAGTCGTTTTATTAATTTTACACATTAAAGAGAAAACTGAATTTAACATGAAGCTTTGAGACTTTCACCACATCAGGACCGACACATTCACTTTGTGCCCTGCCCCCTCACCTGAGCCCCGCCCCCTCACCTGAGCCCCGCCCCTCCTGTCCTCCAGCAGCAGGTGGTAGAGACTCGCCGTCAGCTTGTTGTCGGTGACGCCCTGACCGAGGCCAAGGTTATCGTCCTGCTGCAGCCGCCGGTCCAACACCACCTCCAGCTCACCTGTACAGGTCACAGGTCACAGGTCATCACGTTCACTGACCAAGAAGCTTCATTCGTGTTTTCATAAAACGATGACGTGACTCACCCGGTCGGAGCGAAGCGACTGCCTGACTCTGAGCCGACAGCAGCGACAGACGAGACGTCGAGTCCTGGAGGAACGAAGACGAAGTCATCGGGTAGAAGTTCGCCTGCAGGGGCAGTTTACTCAGAGTCCTCCTCTGCTGCATCTACACACATCAATAATCACACAGTAATCTATCAATAACCTATCAATTATCACTATCAATAATCTATTAATAATCTATCAATAACCAATCAACAAAGCACGTGATGAAGAGAAGGAGTGACATCACAGCTGATATGTAAATGAACCTGGAAGCTGTTGAGGTCGGAGTAGAAACGGTTGCCGTTGGCGACATCACTGACGAGCCGCATGACGAGCTCCCGGTTGACCTCTGACCTGATGTCCACCATGTTGGAAATCTCCAGGGATCTCCCAGCATGCCCTGGGGCAGACATATACATATATATATATACACACATATACATATATATACATATATACATATACATATATATATACATACACACATATACATATATATATACATATATACATATAC